GGCTTAGTAAAGGCGTCTGCCTTTAGATTAAGTTTTAAGTAGTTTTAAGTAGTTATTTTAACCCCCCTCTGGGTTTTTATTGTTTTATTGTTTTTAGACTAAGTTTCAAGTAGTTCTAAGTAGTCTCTTTTAACCCCTCTGGGCTTTTATTGCTTTATTGTTTTATTACCTGCTTCGTGCTTCAGCCTTGCTGCCTTGCCGCACCCCCCGCTGTGCATTTGGTGCTGAGGAGCTGAGTAATCTTCTGAGACAAGTGAGTGGGGAAGGGAAGAGGTCTGGTTGACTCCCCTGCCGTGAAGGGATTCCCCGTCACTGGAAAGGAGAGGGCTCCACCAGGGAAACATACTGAGAGCCAGCGCTCGCTGATGAGCTAAGCAGGAGAAAGCTGCAGATTCATCCCTACTCATCCATTGGCCCTGCTAATTAGGCAGAAACACTGGGGGACAACTGGTTTTCTAATAGGAAGACAACTATCCAACATGGTCCTCACTAGAAAGTTGTGTAAGGAGTTGGGTATCTTGCCAGATACGCCACTTAGCCCCCCGGGACCTGGAAAGAGACAAAGTAAAATTATAAATTACTTCCCCAAGAGGGAGGAATGCATGAGTGAACAAATTGAACCAATTATTGACGAAGTCACTCCTCTCCCCCTTACTTACCTTGACCGGTCACATTACTTCAAAGAGCTTCAACACAACTCTGGAAACACAAATTCCCCAAGAAGCCTGGCGCAAGAGCTAGTTCTAGCTGAGAAACCTGTGGAAAATATTTCTGTCACCTATAACCAGCGGCCCCTGGCAGAATTAACAACATGCCACCAAGACCAGGCGCCCACTTCCAAATATACTCAAACTGAACTGAGTGATGGCCATCTTCAGGCCCATTTCCAAGATATAAATATAGACCTTTCCAACATAAAAAATTACTTGACAATAACAAATGGGTTATTGCTGACCCTTGTGGAAAATTTTATTCCCCAACCAAAAGAGACAACAGCAACCGATGCACCCCAAGTGCATAAACCAGATGAACTTGTGCATAACCCAGATGAACTAGTGAAGATGAGACAAGCAGTAACAACCAAGAAATTGCAAAAAAATAGATCAAAAGTCCGGGAAAAGAAAACTAAGAACATTAAAACAACAAGGAAAATAAAGATAAGCCGACATAAACAATGGCAGAAATTATTTAATCTACTCCCATTGGACTCAAATAAATCTGCTGCACGAGATAAAAAGAGAATGGCAGGAAGGGGAAAAGAAGCCATCGCCAAAGCTAATGGCTAAGGTGGCATCTCTGAACCAGAATTCAGAACTAAGTGGGAGGACGGAAGCAACGTCCCAGAGTTCTGGTAACAGTTCACTCAGCGAACCAGAGTCTGGGGGAGAAGTGGTCCCTAACAATGAAGGCAGCAAACCGCTTAGCAAATCGGGAAATGGGGACGATGCAATGCCCAATCGCGATGACAACACTATACAAGATGGGCAAACCCTTATTCAGGCAAGATGTTGGAACCTGATTTTAAATCCCTCAATATTAGTATTTACAAACTTCCCAAAATCAAAGGCCTTCCTTACAGGGAAAGAACGAAGAATGAGCTCCTTGAACGTTCTGAATGATATATTGCCAGGAGCAGTAAAGCCATATGACATTATTTCTGTAGATTATTTGCATCATGATGGTTGTTCAATGAGAGCAATGATCACATTTAGAGACCAGAACCTGGCCAAGTTTATCTACAGATCAAGATATATATTCTTAAAGGCCCAGATAAAAATTCTCAGATTTTTTGAAAACAAGGCACCACCGAATTCCCTTCTGGAAGCCAAGCACGCAAACCCTAGTAAGGAGAAACAACCTCCCAAAACTCGGCCTGGTCTCCAGAAACGAGAGCTTCAAAAATTAAAAAGGAAAGATGCCCACCTGCAAGACCTGCAACTTCAAGAGAATGAAGATGAGGATCTTTTTTCCGCGGAAGAAAATACCTTAATTAGGCAATTTCGCTATTTTCCATCTCCAATACAAGCTGAAATATTAGAAAGATTGGATATGCTAAGAATTAAGCTGGCTGGGAGAGATACAAACAAGGAAATCAATATGGACGCCCTTATAAAGGACCAGACTTCCTATAATTTGAACCCTACACAAGAACCAAACCCAGCGGCCTGTCGGCCATGTTACCTTCAGACAATGGCTGAGATTAATTTACTCCCAATTAAGGAAGCCCAGCACACTGAAGAGAACACTACACCACCTCCAATAAAGAGAACCATCCCGAAGGTGAATTCACCAGGCTCTTGGGACAAGCTGAGGTATTTAGATGAGGCGGAATTAGGCCACAATCAGGTTCCGGAAAAACACCTACGGAAAGAGATAACACACTTCAAAGGCCCGGTGACCACTAATGTCAGTATTCAACAGTTAACAGCCGAAACTATAGAACATTTGGCTAGTTTGCCATGTATGGAGAGCAATGGGCCGGCTCATAAAAAAGTAATCCCTAAAAGCACCTTGGGAAATAATTGACAAAGATTAGACCAGAGACAAACACCAGCCGGCTCCCTATCTCCGCGGAAATCCGATATCATTAGATACGAACAGACTCAACCCTCACTCACAAATCAAGCAAAAGCAGTTGTTTCCTTGAAAGACGCACCCAACCTACCCCAAAGCCTTAAAATTGTCTCCTGGAATGTTAACGGCTGGGCGACAAAGCAAATGGATCCTGAAGCAATGAATTTCATCTCTTCTTTCGACATTGTATGCCTCCAAGAGACCTGGTCCCAACAAAGTATTGTTCTCCCAAATTATTGCTCCTTTAGCTCCTGTGCTCGTAAACTAACCAACAGGGGTCGCCCCCAAGTTGGCCTCGCCTGTCTTATTTCAACCAGCTTACCCCTCACTATTTGCGAGGAAATTAAATCTTCCCCTTACTTTCTCACCATAAAGATTCATCTCCCAAAGACCAAAAGCCCATGGTTGATAACTACAGTATATCTGCCCCCAGCAATTAATGATTTCGACCGCAATGAAAGGTGGTCTGAACTTTCGTCTTGGCTTCATGATCTCCAAACAACTAACCCAGGACTCCCTCAAATCCTCTTAGGCGACTTCAATGCAAGAATAGGTCCCAACGACGATGATATAATATCTCCCGCAGCACTCCTGGACAATCCCCTGCAGCCCCCCTGGGGAAACAGATGCTCTCTTGATCCTATAACAAATGCGTCGGGAGGCTGATGGCCCAACTGGCCATGGAAAACGATCTCTGCATCGCAAATGGTAACATTACTCCCTTGTCCTCGCAGCAATTAACGTGCATCACTTCCCGGGGAACCAGTGTTGTCGACTACATCTTATTGACGCCGGAGCTATTCTCAATTTCTACAAAAATGGAAGTGGCTGAATATTTTGGTGGTGACCACCTTCCATTGACTCTAATGTTAAACCTAATAGAGCCACTCCCAGTCTCCTCAAACTATAGAACCATGGTACAAAGCCACCCTGTATACAAAACAAAGAAATGGACAAGCCTCAGCTCCTCTCTTGCCCTGGACATACAAAAATCATTTGATATGTCTGCAGTTCCCTCTGATCCAATCCTGCCCGCTGACCAATACCGGAAATTACTTGATGCTTTCTCAACAACTTACATAACCACCACCTCGCCTACTTACCAACGCCTTTTCTCTGAATCGCCCTGGTTTGACAAGGAATGTAAAGCCCTAAGAAGGCGAATTAGGAAAATGGTCAGAATCATCAAATCTTCCAACGACCCCCAAACCCGTGCAAAGCTCATAGATATTAAAAGGACATATAGAAACATGATTCATTGCAAGAAGCAGCAGTACATCTTTGAGGCTTGGTCCACTCTTCGTTCGGCTGTAGAGAGGCATGACTCCCGCTCCTTCTGGCGCCTAGTTAGACCTTCGGCACCATTCAATCCAGCTACCCAGATTTCCGCGGATGAATGGATTGCTTATTATTCAACTAGTTTCGCTTCTCCAAACCATCTTACAGATCTCCTTCAATCCCCATTGGACCTCAGTTCCTGCTCTCTTAGTCCCACTTCTTCAATAAACTTTACTTCAACTCGCATTTTCAACATCATAATGTCAATGCAAAGGAATAAGGCCCCCGGCCCAGACATGGTCCCGTTGGACCTTTTCCTGACTGATCCTCTTTGGTGGAGCGAACACCTGACTCCTGTATTCACCGCTATCTCCTCCGCCCTAGACATCCCCGACTCCTGGAGAGAAGCTATAATAGTTCCGATCTTCAAAGGCGGCCAGCCAAACATCCCTAGGAACTATCGCCCCATCAGCTTATTATCCATCCCGGGGAAATATTTGCCGCTGTTTTACTGGAGGAACTTCTCTCATGGGTCCAGGAGAGGAACATTCTACCGCTAGAACAGATTGGTTTCCGAAAGTCAGCGTCAACCATGGACCATTGTCTAACTCTCTTTCACCTTGCCAGTAAATACACTGCTCCAAGGCAAGGCCACCTATTTGCCGCTTTCATGGACCTGGAGGCCGCCTTTGATTCCATTCCTAGGCAGAGATTATGGTCCAAACTTGCCCATCTGGGAATTGATCCGCACCTTCTCTCCCTAATTATCTCCCTTTATTCAAACACCACAGCTCGCGTCCGAACTAGTCCAAACGGCTCCCCACTACTCCATTTCCAACGGCCAAGGGCGTCCGACAAGGTTGCCTCTTGGCCCCTTTACTGTTTAATCTCTATCTTCATGATGCAATTTCCACTTTGAAGCTAGCATCTAAGTATCCTCCTCACTTAGCAGGCCACCCCGTTGCTTCCCTTTTCTATGCTGATGATGCCGTCATCTTATCCAGAACAGCTGCGGATCTAGCAAATGCAGTTAATGCATTTATCGCCTATTGTAAGGCGGAAGCTCTTAATATTAATTATAAAAAATCGAAAGTCCTCCACTTCACTCGTTCCCGCAAACTCAAGTTGGAGCCGCTTAAGATCACAGGTGGCTACTTAGAAAAGGTAAAAGCCTTTAAATATTTAGGATTAATATTCACCTATAATCTCTCCTGGACCACCCATCTACAATCTGCCTTTCTCGCTGCAACCACGACCTCTAACGCCATTGTCCGATTTTACCACCAGAAGGGCGGCAAACACCTTCCAGCAGCAATTCAAATATTTAATGCCAAAGTCGTCCCTAAATTATTATATGGATGTGAAGTATGGACTACAGCAATATCAGGTAACCTGGATCGTCCACTTCATATGTTTCTGAGATCTCTTTCCGGCGTCCCGAGATGTGTCTCAGGTGCAGCCCTACGACTCGAGTTCGCCCAGCCTTCAATTGCTAGACGAGCATGGAGCCGAGCCATTTCCTACACCCTCCACCTATTAGCATCGGATGCTCGAATTAGAGGTGGCTTTTCCAATCTGATCCTAAGAGATATTCATAATTCCCCTTGGAAAACTACAATTAACCTCAAATTCCGCTCTCTTCTCAATCTGAATTGTAAAACTGTTCTTAACTTAGAGTGTATCAGCCCGGTGGCCCTACCCCTAATTAAAAAGAAACTACAGCAACTCGACTTCTCCAACACAGCTTCTTGTGCAAGAGGACCGTGTTCAGGCCTAGCCCTAGCTATTCCACCCCTGAAGGGATCCCTCTATACTGCTTCACAATTTCTTCGGAGACTAAGCGAAGGGCTTTTACCTGTGCCCGTCTCAACTGTTTTCCTACAGCAGTTCTGTCGGGTCGCTATTCCAGAGTTCCCATCGCAAACAGAACATGCTCCTGTAATGACACGGCCCTGGAGACTATGGAACATGTAATGCTCTTCTGTCCCAACTGGACAGATGAAAGATCTCGGTTTTTAACTCCCCTCGTGAATAAGTTCCATCTCCCAATCCAGCCTTGGATAGTGTCCCTCTTTTTGCAGGATTCTGATTGTTGGATTACTGAGATGACAGCTAATTTCCTGCTTAGTGTGATGAAGAGGAAAGCGGCACTAACTTCTTCCTTAACACCACAGATGCAGTCGATACGCCGCACAACCGAACGAAGTTCCAAGTAGCCTTATTGTACAAGGACAATCGAGTTAGGACTAATCTGAGGAGCTGAAGGACCCTTTAACGGTCCTCCTCCAGCCTCAGCAGCTTTTGTTTTTTGTTTGGTTTTTTTTTCACTTTCTTTAAGTATTCGCCCAGGACGATGTCTACCTCTACCTCCCCACCCCCATTTTATGTTGTTATTTCAATGTATGTCATGCTATGGCCACTCGGCTAATGCAATAAATAAATAAATCAGATTTGCCAATATTTGGTCTCCTGTTCTCTCTTCTTAGCCTTGTTTTATTTATTTACAAAATAAAAAAATGATACTGCTATATCATAAAACATAACAGTAACAAAGCAGATTGCAACAGTATCTGTATATATATATATATAATAAAATAGATAAACAATTAAAATAACTCTTACTTCCTATCCATATGCTTACTGTGCTTAATGATACTCTGTGTTCATCACTGCTTCTTGGAAGCACATGCTGAAGGCTCTTCTAGTTCTGGGTAATCCAGCTTGAAAGCAATAGTCCTCTCCTATTTTTATTCCCCAGAAACTGGTGTTTTGTGACCCACTGCCTTTGAACATATGGGGTTCTATCGGCCCATCTGTTTACAAATACCTGTTCCAAGTGCCTTTGATAATGTAGCCAAAACCACACCAACAAGAGGAAGATATCAGCAGACTCAGTGTAACTCTTTCAATGTAATACTTTTGGATCATCACTGATCAGGGATGCTGTAGCAGCAGATTTTCTGTTTTGGCAGGGGTTGGACTAGAGGACTTTATTTGATTCCTAGGATGTCCATGAATTATTTGAAATCACGCCAAACCTTGACCTGATCTTTACTACAAATGAGATGGGGGAAAGTTTGGTTAGCTTTTGTTGTAGTTAGGCGGTCATTTCTTTACCTATTTTTTCTTTCTTTGTCATATGGGGAACCTGTGGCCCTCCAGATCTTATTGGACTACACTCCCATCATCCCTGACTGTTGACTATGCTGGGTCAGATGGGAATTGGGAGTCCAAAAACATATGGCTGTGGGATCCCCAGGCTTGCTGTACACCCTAGGCAAATAGACGTATTTTACACTGGGCTGTTCTTCTGGTTCCACCAAACAACATTTGGACTCGTGTTTCCACATCAGGCCAAAACAGCAGTTTTGGCTGCTTTATCCCTCTTGGGAAGAATGCCATTGGGAAGGATTTGGAATGATGGATGGGAAAGGATTAAGCATCCACTCTGCCCAGTTGCTTCTCCATTCTAAATTTCCCTCTCCTGTACATGCTTTAATTCTTAAATAAGTGGGGTTAGGGTTCTTGTTACACCCATTTGTAAGTAATGTGTAATTAGTCCTTACTGTGTGCTGTTTGGATATGTGGCAACTGAATGATATAATTATTTTCACGTGCTACATCTTTTATTTCTCATTGTGCTTTGAATGATAAAGATATGTTTATGAGCCATGGCACAATGTGAGGTGCCAAAGCCCTGTTGGTTCCAGTGGGATTTACTTAAATGCATACAGTTGTTGCAGTCAAGCTCTTCTTTTTGTGGAGAGAGCAGGACTCCAGCTTCAGATATTGCGTTGGCTTTTTTGTTTTGGTTATATATAAATTACATCCATTCTACAAATCACCCCAATCTCTGCCCATACCCTGTCTAGAGGAGCATGTCTGAGGAATATGAGTCATTCAAGCTCCTTACTTGGGTCAATATCCTTCAAAAGTGCTTCACTGGAAGCATTCCTTTATTTATAAGCCATAAATAGAACTACAGTAATAAGAGGTTGCAATCAGGAAACATAATGAGAAGAGACACTTCAAAAGGAAAATGGGATAGGAAGAAAAGCAATAAAGAGGTAAAGAATGTTCATTTCCTGGAAGACACAATAGATGTAAAGGCTCTTCTTTGCATTATTTAATTCATTCCTTAATGGAGCTGCCAACTTTCTATTCAGATCCATTTGTATTTGTATTTTTTTAATTTGTATTTTTGCATAAGCCTGAACTTTGCACAAGTTTCTATGTTTGGAAGTGGCATCTAATAGCAGAGGTGTAGCTGGTCTTGGAGGGAGCCTGTAGCAAACCATTCAAATAAGACTTTTATAAAAATAACAAACCCTTGTCAACACAAGAAATACAAGACAAACTAGAAGACACCCAAATGCCCTGGTTAACACAACACCAACTTCATGCCCTCTTAAACAACCCAACAGTAAAATCAACAGCAACTAGGCCCCTGACAACCTTCGAAAACCTCCTCCTAACAACAAAGGGAAACGGTAAAGGGACGGTATCCGCAATATACAAAATACTACTCCAAAATCCTGTAAATCCCTAGACGCAATCAAAAAACAATGGGAGAATGACATAGGCTATGAGATTAACCCCACTCAATGGACCAGAATGTGGTCTAAACCCCCTTTAAATCCATATCAACGAAAAGAAAAGAACTCACACTGAAACTCACCTACAGGTGGTACCTAACACCAAGGAAACTAGCGCTAATACACCCAGGAACCTCACCAAAATGCTGGAGAGGGTGCACCTCCACAGGCACATACCTCCACATGTGGTGGGAGTGTCCCAAAATCCAACTATTCTGGACAACAGCCATACAAGAAATATGTAAAATAACTAAGCAAGTAATAGACACCACCCCAGAATTGGCCCTACTAAACATCTTCCAAGACAACAATGCCCATTTACACCACAAAGAACTCATAACCCACCTGCTCTCAGCAGCCAGAAACACCATAACCAGACACTGGAGAGACCTGTCAGGAGTAAGCATGGACCAATGGTACCAAATAGTATGGGAAACAGCCCTACTAGAAAAATTAACTAATAAACTGAAACTGACACGGGGACAAACAGAAGAAGACGCCTTCACCCCGGTATGGCTCCCATTTATCACATACACAGCCCAACAGGACAATGACAATAATCCACCAACAGCATACAAATCAATATGGCTAACCTGATCCAAAACACCCACCCACCTCACTCACACACGAAAACAAAGATCACCACAGCCAATCACAAGCAAACAATCACACCCTAGGCCAACCCCAACCTCTCTCACCACCAAAGGAACACAAGTGAACAACACAAGCAACGCTGACACCAAACTCTACATACATTAAACATAATAGAAACACCGCCACCCGACCCCACCCCCATCCATCTTCCCTCTCTCCACCCCCCCTTTTTCTTTTTTTTTTCTTCTCCCCCTAATGCCTCAACAAATGAAACAGATTTGTAAAAATGTTACATGGGAAAAAAAATACGAGGCACTACACTTCTGTAAAACAAGAAAATCCTTAATAAAATATTTAAAAATAATAATAATAATACCAAATGCCTAGTGTTTTGCTTTGTATTTTCACCAAGGAAATTATGTACATTTTCTGACATCATTCCCAATAAAAGTCTTTTAGTGCAGCTGGGTTGGCAACTGAAACCAAGGTCTTAAAGGCCATCAGGGGAATAATGGAATCATTGCCCGAGCTGTCCTCCCATAAGGTCTAGTTATATTGCCCCTTTCATTACGGTGAAAATGAAAGGCAAGTAACACTCTCATCTGTTTTGAAATCGAACACTAATTTGCGTAAATGATTCTGCTTTCACTAAGGCAATCTCTTTGGTTGATGTTTTATGCTAGGAAGAATAGATGCATCCAGTGCTATCTATCATAACCAGAGACCATGTTTTTAGTTTAGTTAAAACACTCTTTATCATTGATAATGATTTATTGTCAAAGAACTTTGCTTATGAACCCAATACAGGAGAGAGAAAGCTACCGTATTTTTCCGTGTATAAGACTAGGTTTTTCCCTTAAAAATAATGTCAAAAATTTGAGGGCATCTCTTATACACGGATAGTAAAATACACAATTTTTTCTTAAATTGGAGTCCCCCCAAATAGGGGGCGTCTTATACATGGGGGCGTCTTATAGATGAAAAAATACAGTATTTTGAACTGTTTCTATCGCTCTCTTTTGGAAGAAGATCAGTCTGCACCACCATTCTACTTCTTGGAATCTAGGCTAAAAATACTTAATCTTGAAAGCAACATGAAGCTGCCATATCCCATGAATAAGCATGGTATATTGGAAGACAAAGAAGAAAATCAAGTGCTTGATTAGACACAGATTCAGAACGAGCTACTGCTCAGAAGTCTTGCTAACATGTTGAAAACAGCTGAGCATATACAGGTACATAACACTTGCTTATAAGAACGTGTGCATAATACCATGACTCAGATGCCAGTCTGTTTATTCTTTGATTTGACTATTTTTGAATCTTAAGACCCAAATGCAGCTTTGTTACATCTATCGCTTTTCGCAGCTCATTTTGTGATGTGACACATACTGGTAATTGTTTTCTTAACAGATACTGGTATGGAGAATTTGCTAATATTTTGAAACATTTTTTTCTGTTGCTGAGAGCAGTGGCATCTCGCAAAGCACTCGAAAAATCTGGCAGCTGGCATTAAGTCACTTTTATTTCTGCGTTGGCACAAGCTTTTAAAAGTAGACTTGATGGGGTGAATTCTGAGATTTATTATTTAGTCCCCGCCCTCCGATACAACAACACCAACAAAAACAACAGCGAAACAGCAGGGGAGGGGGTATAAAATGAACTTGTGGAGTATACATTATTGATTTATTTCCTAAAATCCTCTTCTCTGTTTTTTCTTCTTCAAAAAACGCCACCACCACCTAGGCAGTTCACATTGAAATGCTAATTACAATTAAATGCAAT